ATCTCATTACAGATGGTTGTGAGCCACCATGTGGTTGCTGGGAATTGAACTCAGAACCTTTGGAAGAGCAGCCAGTGCTCTTAACCTCTGAGCCATCTCTTAAGCCCCGGTCCCCTGCATTTTATAGTAAGAAACCTGGGACCTGGAGAGATGGCTCAGCAGTTAACGAGAACCTTTTGCTCCTCCAGAGGATCCAGCTTCAGTTTCCAGCACCTGAATGGGGGCTTACAACTGTCTGTGACTCCAGTTCCAGGGGATCCGACCTCTTCTGGCCTCTTCAGGCACCAGGCACACATGTGGTTCACAGACATACATGCAGACAAAATACCCGTACACATAAGATTAATCAGTATTGGGCTGGTAGCTTAGTGGCAGGGTTTGTGTAGCGTGTGTGAGACCCTGGGTTCAGTCTTCAGTAGAGTAGGAGACTACATATTTCATAGTTCTTTATCCTGCTGTTTGTTAATGGCTACGTTCCTTCCCCATGTTTCTATCCCATGGCAGGTGTTTGTGGACACTGTGGGCATGCCAGAGACGTACCAGGCTCGGCTGCAGCAGCGCTTTCCAGGGGTGGAGGTAACAGTCAAGGCCAAAGCAGACTCCCTGTTCCCCGTGGTCAGTGCGGCCAGCATCTTTGCCAAGGTTAGCGTCCTCCTGTCCAGGGCCCATTCCCAGCATCTCCCTTGTGTAGAGACAGGCAAGATTCCCCTGAGGAAGGAGACACTAACCTACTGTCTTGCCTGCAGGTGGCTAGAGACCAGGCTGTGAAGAGCTGGCAGTTTGTGGAGAGTGTACAGGATCTGGACTCTGATTATGGCTCAGGCTATCCCAATGGTGAGCTGAGGGTGTTCTTGTCATTAAGTCCGTGTCCTGTCCTGTCCCCGCCCCCATCCTCCCTCCCGCCCCCACTCCCCACCCCGGAGCTGAGGACTGAACCCAGGGCCTTGGCTTGCTAGGCAAACTCTCTACCACTGAGCTAAATCCCCAACCCATCATTGAGTTTTAAAAAGTCTTTTATAGCACTCTGGAGGCAGAGGCAGGAGGATCTCTGTGAGTTTGAGGCCATCCTGGTCTACAGAGCGAGCTCCACAATAACTAAGGCTGTGTGGAGACCTGTCTCAAAAGACAAAACAAAATTCTATTTGATATGTGTGGGTGTTTTGCCAGCATGTATGTCTGAGCACCGTGTGCATGTCTGGTGCCTGCAAAGCACATGGTACACATATGTAAAATAAAAGGAAATATTTTCAAAAAACAAAATGAGGTCTAAAGAGATGGATCAGTGGCTAAGAGTACATGCTGCTCTTGCAGAGGACCAGAGTTCAGTTCCCAGCATCCACATAAAGCAGCTCACAACTGCCTGTGACTCCAGCGGAGCCAATGGCCTCCAGGGACACCTGCACTCATACACACAGAGACACACATATGCATACATTTTAAAATAAATACTTAAAAACCAGAGGAAGAAAAATTTAAAACCCACCCCACCACAGAATTAAGAAAAGAAAAGAAAGTGTTAAGCCAGGCACAATAGTTCCCCCTTATCATGGAAGCAGGGGTGGGAGAGTTACAAGTTCGGGGCTAACCTGGACATTTGCCCCAAACGAAAAATCAATTTGATGACTGTTATCCTTGTGGTTTAGGGAGTTGTCTCAGAAATACTCCCAAAATATAGCACTAGGGAGACACAGAATGGGAGTTTGGGGACAGACCATACCTGCCTGTGCCAAGGACCTGGAACAGAAAGGCACTTCAGATACAGGGGGTGTCTTGGTGTTCAAAAAGCCAAAGACATATACCCTTAACCCCAGCACTCTGGAGGCAGAGGCAGGCGGGTGGCCAGCCTGGTCTACAGAGTGAAACTGTCTCAACAACAAGGAAGTAAAGAAGGTGAAGGTGGCATGTGGCTGTCGCCTGCCACTCAGGTGCTGCGGTCATTACTTCTCTCTCTAGACCCCAAGACGAAAGCCTGGCTGAGGAAACACGTGGACCCTGTGTTTGGCTTCCCGCAGTTTGTTCGGTTCAGCTGGAGCACAGCCCAGGCCATCCTGGAAAAGGAGGCCGAAGGTGTCACGTGGTTCGTGTCCCCAGCCTGCTGAGGAGGCAGAGGAGAGGGAGGGAGGCCCTGGTTTGTCTCCCAGTCCCATGGCAGGTGGCCAGTGTCGTTCTTTCCCCCACAGGGAGGACTCAGCAGCGGAGGAGGATCCTGAGCGACCTGGAACGATCACCTCGTACTTCCTCAGCCAGGGCCCTCAGACCTGCCGCCCACAGGTCCCCCACAGATACTTCCAGGAGCGAGGCCTGGAGGCAGCCAACAGCCTCTAGAAGCAAACGTGTGAACCTGCTGCCTCTTACTCAGGAATTAAAGCTGTTCAGGAGAAGTCGATGGTGTGCTCTGTGGCCAAGGTCTGATAGGAGTGTCCTTATAGCAGTCGCTAATTCGTCCTCAAAGAGTAGGCCTCTCTAGATTGATGTAGCCTGCTCATTTTTTTAAAGTGTCTCTGTGTAGCCCTAGTTTTCTGGAAGTCACCATGTAGACCAGGTTGGCCTTGAACTCACAGTGACCCTCCTGCCTCTGCTCCTAAGTGCCAAGATTAAAGGCCTATACCACCATGCCCACCTTTTTTTTTTAATTTTGAAATTATTTTGTGTATGTATGTTTGTCTTTGTGTGACTGTACAAACACATGAGTATGCACACTTGAGTGTAGGTGTCCTTGAAGTCCACAGGCTTCAAATTCCCCTAGAGCTGGAGACAGTTACAGCCTAGTCTGTGTGAGTGCTGGGATTTGAATTTACTAGGTGCTCTTCACCACTTTTCCAGCCCACATCTTTTTTTTTATTTTTATTTTTATTTTGAGACCATCTCTACATAGCCCTGGCTGTCCTGTAATTTACTATATAGACCAGGCAGGCTATCCTTGAACTCACAGAGATCCACCTGCTCCTGCCTCTGAAGTGCTGAGATTAAAGGTGTGCCCTAACATGCTTGGTCCCATTTTAAAGTTTTTGTCTTGTTTTTCAAGACAAGATTTCTCTGTGTAACCCAGGCTGTCCTGGAACTCAATTTGTAGACCAGACTGGCCTCAAACTCAGGTCTGCCTCTCTTGTCTCCTGAGTGATGGAATTAAAGGTGTTGCTAGGTAGTGGTGGCACGTGCCTTTAATCCAAGCACTCGAGTGGATATCTGAGTTCGAGGCCAGTCTGGTCTACAGAGCGAGCTCCAGGACAGCCAGGGATACACCCAGGAGAAACCCTATGGAGGGAAAAAAATTATATATATGAGTTTTGCATTTTTGTCTCTGCACCGCATGCAATGCTCAATGAAGCCAGAAGAGGGCACCAGATCACCTGCAACTGGAGTTAGGTGGTTTTGAGCCACCTTGTGGGTATTGGGAATGAGGTCCTCTGCAAGAGCGTCAGCACTGTAACTGCAGAGCCATCTCTCTAGTCCTCTTTTCCATTATCTTTTGTGCTGTTGTGGTGGTGCCTGCCTTTAATCCCAGCATTTGGGAGTCAGGTAGGTGGATCTCTGAGTTCGAGGCCAGCCGGGTCTACATAGTTCCAGGTCAGACAAGGCTACATAATGAGATGCTGATTCAAAGCCAAAAATTATTTCATTACATTTATTTATTTGTTTGTTTATTTATTTGGGGGAAAGGGACACGAGTGCCACCGCAAATGTGGAGGTCAGAGGACAACTTGCAGGAGCTGGTTCTTTTACTGTGTGAGTTCTGGGGATAGATGTAGGTCATCAGAATTGGCCTGCTGTGCCATTTTACTGGTCTCTGTCTCCTTTCCTTCCTCTCTCCTTCCTCTTCCCCTCTGAGGTGATTACTTTTTGGCAGTTCTTCCCAACTACTTCCCCAGGCAGCAGCCACATCGTATAGCATGGTCTAGGCGGTAACTTTATTCTGGGAAAGAGAGCAGACTAAGCGAGAGTTGGGCCATTTCTAGGATGACGGGTAGAGAGGCCTGTCTAAGCAACCCAGGGCACGGTTTGGGAGGGAGAGAGAGAGGGGTGTGTTTCTGGGTGGCTCCTGGCTCCTGGCCCAGGCGAGGGACACACTTGAAAGCCAGACATCTACTCAGGGCTGTCGCCGCTGCCGCTGCCGCTGCCTGCAGCCTTCGAGATCCAGGCGCGAGGGCGGCGGGCGCGTGGAGAGGAGATGGAGACATTGAGACAGTGACGTGAGCCAGGAGCTGCCATGGGCAGTGCGTGGCCCAGAACCGTGCGACACAGGTCTTCGGCATTGGCGAAGGTCTAGGAGAAAGGGTGGGGTCAGGGTTCGAGAAGGTGGAGCCTGAGTCGCTGGGGGCGCGTCTTCTGGGGGCGTGGCCTGGGCAATGGGAGGGTCTGGGCGTTCCTTTGAGGGACTGGTGGTCTCTGGCGGGGCCAGAGCCAGGGGCGGGGCGACAGGTTTCCTGGGCCTGCTGAGAACCCACAGCAAAGACAGTAACTTGGAAGGAGACTCTGGAATCAGTGGCTCTTGGGACACTATCCACACACCCCACACCGAGGCTGGGACTGTGGAAGAGTGGAGCCTGAGCCTAGGGGCTAGGTAAACTGAGATGGGCTAAGATAAGGCTAAGCGCCCGGCTGGAGAGATGGTTCAGCCGGCAAGAGCATTGGCTGCTCTTACAGAGGACCCAGGTTAGATTCCCGGCACCCATGTGCTAGTTCACAACCATAGTTCCAATTATAAGGGACTCCATACCCTGTACTGACCTCCTCAGGGCACACAGGTGGTGCACGTACAGGCAGAAAAAACACTCATACACGGAATAAAAATAAATCTCTAAAGAATAAAGATTAGCACTCAGGAGGCAGAGCCAGGAGGATCTCTGAGAGTTCGAGGCCAGCCTGGTCTACAGAGCGAGATCCAGGACAGGCTCCAAAACTGCACAGAGAAACCCTGTCTCTTGAAAAACCAAAACAAAAAAAATAAAGATTAGCCAAATGTGGTAACCCACACCTTTAAAGGCATTAATAGCACTGGAGAGACAGAGGTAGGCAGATCTCTAAGAGTTCAAGGTCAGCCTGGTCATGTAGAAATTCCTTATTTCAAAAAAGTAACTAGTTAAAAGACATCATGAACCTGGGTGTTGGAGCATGTCAGTACCCCTGACCCTCTGTTCCTCACCTGCCCGTAGGTTCGGCAGCTGGCTTCACAGCCTCTCTTCCCAGAGGGCTGCAGCCAAGTCGGGCCACAGGTGAAATCTGCTTCGCAGGTGGTGAACCTGGGTTTGTGAAAGGGAAGTTGGGTTAGGGCTTTGGAGCCAGTTGGCTTCTAAAGACCACTGTCCTGCTCTCAGACCAAGACCTCATCCTTCAGGCCCCATTCCTTCAAAAGCCCAACCCAGCCTTTGCAGGGCTCACTTCCCAGATTTATTTATGTATTTAGAGGCAGGATCTGAAGCTAGTCTAGAAGCTGTTTTGTGTCTGAGGATGACCTTGAACTCCTGACCCTCTTTCCTAAGTACTGATACCACAGGCCACCAACACCACCACAGTGTCCACTCCCTTCCCCTTTAAAACTATTTTGCCGGGCGGTGGTGGCGCACGCCTTTAATCCCAGCACTCAGGAGGCAGAGGCAGGCGGATCTGTGTGAGTTCGAGGCCAGCCTGGGCTACCAAGTGAGTCCCAGGAAAGGCGCAAAGCTATACAGAGAGAGAAACCCTGTCTCGAAAAAAGAAAAAAAAAAAAAGAAAAGAAAAAAGAAAAAAAAAAAAAAAGAAAAACCAAAAAAAAAAAAACAAAACAAAAAAACAAAAAAACCCCCTTTATTTTAATTAATTTATTTATTTTGGTTTCTTGAGGCAGGGTTTTTCTGTGTAGCTCTGGCTGTCCCGGAGCTCACTCTGTAGACCAGGCTGGCCTCGAACTCACAGAGATCTGCCTGCCTCTGCCTCCCAAATGCTGGGATTAAAGGCGTGGGCCACCACCACCACCACCACCAGGCTTAAAATTATTTTTAAGTTATGTTTGTCCATCTTGTATGTGCAAAGTGCCAAGGGAGTTCCAAAGAGGACATCAGATCCCCTGGAGCTGGAATTACAAGCAACTGTGGGCCTGACATGGATGTTGGGAACCGAACTCCGGTCCTCTGAAAAAGTAGTTAGCACGCGAGAGACAGGGTTTCTCTGTGTAGCTTTGCGCCTTTCCTGGAACTCACTTGGTAGCCCAGGCTGGCCTCGAACTCACAGAGATCCGCCTGGCTCTGCCTCCCGAGTGCTGGGATTAAAGGCGTAAGCCACCACCGCCCCTGGCCAGTAGTTAGCACTCTTAACCACTGAGGCCAGACAACCTATTTGTGACCAGCTCCTTGCATTCCCACCTCTTTTAGCTCCTCTAAGAGTCAAAAGCTTGAACCTTTTGAAACGTCCTGGTCCACCAGAGCCATGTCCTCACGCTGTCTTGTCTTAAATAGTAGGCCACCCTCTTCTCATAGACCCACCCTGGCTCGGTAGGAGCGAACTAAGGCCCTTGGTCCCGGTCCCGCCCATACCGTAGGGCACGTCCCTGTCCCCGCCTCCCTTACCAAATCCGGCAGAGCTCCGGGCAGAGAGGCTGCACTCGGTGTACTCCAAGCAGCAGCCAGTGGAAGCGATTGCGGAGGGCACGTTGAAGGTGTCCCAGGAAGAATTCACATCTGGACATGGGAGACACAGGGCAGGCGGGGCACAGTTCTCAGGGGGAGTTAAGAGTGTGACTGACTAAGGCGGGCACTAATAGGGCAAAGAACGGGTCAGGCTAGAGGACGCAATACTCACTCCGGGCTCGGTGCACCGCAGCTTTCTAGAAGGATCCCTGGGTTTGATGCCTCTGGTCCGTCTATATCTGAGGTACAACAAGGTTCTGGCAGGGGTGATGTCTGTGAACCAGGATCTTGGATCCTCAGGGAAGGCCGTGGAACCGAGGACGGAGGGTACCCTGACAATAGGAATTTTATCAGCCATCCCAAAGAGAAAAACCTTAGAGAGTTCTCTTGAGCTGAATGAAATGGCATGGATCTGTAATCCCAGACACTTGGAGGCTAAAGCAGGGGGAATCTCAAATTTAAGACCAAACGAGGCAACTTAGAGGGATCCTGACTGAAAATTAGAACAAACCAAAAAATAGGGCTTAGTGAAATAGCACTTGCCTAGCATGTGGAAGGCACTTGGTTCAATTCCCATTACTGGAGACATTCTTCTGTGAAATGCAACTTTAAGTAGTAATAACGGCGTATCACCCGTAATAATCAGGTTATATCTGTGTTTCTAAGGGGTTGCACAGTGTTTATAGGCTTAATTTCCATAACACCTGTATGTTAGGTCTGTGATTTCTCTTTATTTACTGGGGACTGGATCTAGGGCACTACCCATGTTAGGCACACATTCTATGAGCTATATCTTCAGCACTATTTATAGTAATTTTTAGAATTATATTTAATGAACTTGTGTGTGTGACTGCTCGTGTGCCACAGTGTGTATGCAAGTGTGGCGGTGAGGGCAAGCTGCAGGACTGGGTTCTCTCCCTTCAGCATGTGGGTTCCAGGGACCTGACCCAGGTTGCTGACTGAGTCCTCTCATCAGTCCTAATTATTTATTTTGAGACAGAGTTTCATGTAGTTCAGCCTGGCCTCCACCTCCCTGTGTAGCTGAGGCTGGCCTTGAAATCCTAATCCCCCTACATCCACGTATGTGCTGGGATTACAGGTGGGCGTCACTCTCTACCCAGGTCAACTGACTTGCTCAAGGTCACAGAGCACCAAGGTGTGGGTTTGGGACGGAGCAGTCCGACACCCAGAGAACAGCGTTCTTCACTACTCTCATTGCTACACGAGGCCCCTCCTACAAGGAGGGTGTGAGTGGACTTCTGGGTGTTAGGACTTAGATAGGGAGCTCACCTGCTAGGTGCAGCTGGCTTGTGCCCACATTGGCTGCCAGCCCAGGGTGTCCCCAGAATCTAGCTTGCAGAGGGTGGCTCCCTCCACAGGCCACCGAGAAGATCCATGCCAGGATCAGTCGCAGGGCCCAGTCCAGGCTGCTGGGTTGAAAGTGGCCTTTGTGGGCCATGTCCACCTGAGACAAGAACCAGCTGAGATGGAGGGATGAGGCATGACTATCCTTTTGGAGGCTCAGGTTGGCACTGGCGGGTGCACACCAGAAATCAATGCCAGGCAGCACAGAGCATGGGCAGTGCTGGAGGAAGCCAGGCAATGGCCAGGGCTCTCCGAACTCTAGGGGGAGTCTCACCCAAGAGCCCCTCCCAGCAGACACATCCCCCCTGTTCCTTCAGGCCCAAACACCGCCCCCAGCTTAAACCACACATGCCAACAATCTCTCACCCTGTTTGCCCTCTGCTACTAACTTCCTTCAGAGTAACAGGACTACCTCAGCTCTTCCAAGCCCCTCTTCCAACCAGGACTTCCTCTCTCTCTTCAGCCCCGCCCCGCTTCTCGCTTCTCGCTCACTCCTTTCACGGTCACCTTCTCTTGGTTCACAATCAGCTTAGCAGCTTCCACCCGGGGCTGGACCTTTAGTACCAAGCTGCACAGCGGGGGCTGCGGTGCTGCGACTAGGTACTACAAGGTTCTAGGCAGAGGAAGGCAAGGGTATGGGAGACAAGATTCCCGCCTCCCTTCTCCCTGTCACTCACCTGTTAGCAGGCTGGAGTACAGGAGCTGCTGAGACACCTCAGAACCACAGAACAAGGCCAGCAAATAGCGGCAACTTAAGGGGTGTGGTTTGGTCCAGGGGCGGGGCTTTCCAAAGCCCCGCCCCCACAGCCACAAAACAGGTGCTCTTGGGACTGGTGCATTTATATCCATAAGCTTGCTTTATGTTAAACTTGGGATCTAAGATCTGTCTGTCTGTCTCTCTCTCCCTCTCTGTGTACGATGTGTTCTATGATGGGTGGGTAATCCTACATCTGTGTCTCTTCTGGTTTGTGTGAGAGGATATCTCTTGGGTAGGTGGTTTCATGTGTTTATTGGTGCATGCTACTGTGCCTTTCTGCAGTTATTGTAAATCTGTGTCCTTTAGCATTCTGTCCATTAATTCAATATTTATTTATATTTTATTAATTTTTTTGCTTTTTCAAGACAAGGTTCTGTGTAGCTTTGGCTGTCCTGGAACTTGCTCTGTAGACCTTGAATTCACAGAGATCCACCTGCCTCTGTCTCCCAAGCGCTGGGATTAAAGGCGGGCACTACCACCACCTGGCCAATAGACATATACTAAACACACACTCTGAGGAGGTAGAGGCAGGGGGATCTCTGTGTTCAAAGTCAGCTTGGTCTACAGAGTGAGTTCTAGGACAGCCACAGCAGAATCCCTGCCTCAAAAACAAACAAATAAATAAACAAAGCAGCTCTGTACTGTCTCCTGGGGGTGCACTTATACAAGATACAACAATCTCAGTCTTCATAGAATTGACTCAACTTGGGACGGATAGTCAGGTGGGGGGACAGCACTGGAGAAGGAGGGCATGCACAACTTTGACACACCTGTATGTGAGCTGTGTGGAAGGAAGACGTATCTGTGTATTAGGGGGATTGTGTACCATTGAGCATCCCTGGGTTTTGGAATTGTGTGTCTTGGGTGTTTGTATTTTTTTTGAGTGTGCTTGCATTGATAAATATCTGTGTGTCTGTGTTTCCTAAATACATGTTTGTATGACTGCAGAGTGTGAGGTTTTTTTAAAAGATATCTTTTTTAAAAGATTTATTTATTTTATGTATGAGTGCTCTATCTGCATGTATGTCTTTATGCCAGGGAAGGGCATCAGACCCCATGATGGATGGTTATGAGTCACCATGTGGTTGATGAGAATTGAACTCAAGACTTCTGGAAGAGCAGCCAGTGCTCTTAGCTGCTGAGCCATCTCTCCAGCCTGAGTATGTGTTTTATATACATGTGTGTTTATATACATTGTGTGTGTGTGTTTGCTGGATATTTGCAAATAGCTATATATGTTGTGTGTGATTTTCTTTGCTGATCATGTTTGTAGTTTTCTTTTTTATATTTTAATATTTTAAATTAGGGGTGGGTGTGTGCGCGCCTATCTGTCTGTCTGTCTGTCCATACAGGTCTGTGGATATGAGTGTGGTTGCCCTGTGAGGTCAGAGTCCTCTGATCAGACCCCCTGGGGTTGGAGTTACAGGCAGTTGTGAGCTGCTTGACCTGGGTGCTGGGAACTGAACTTGGGCTCTCTGCATGGTGGTATGTTCTCTTAACCACTGAGCAATCTCCCCAACCCCTTACATGTGTTTCTGGAGAATATGGGTCTTTATTCAAGGAGTATGTACACAGCATGTACGAATACTTGTTTGTATCTTTGAGGAGTATGCATGTGTAAGGATATGCAGTGTTTGTGAATGTATTTGTAGAATACGTGTGTGCACAGAAGTGTATGTGCAGAGCACTGTTTCTGCTTGTACTCATATTTCATATGCATGTGTTTAGAACATATGCATCCATCCTAATAGAATATGTATACCACCATCAGAAATGTGTCTCCCTCCTATCTCAGGGTCAGACAGGCATTTTAAAGACTTACTTTAATTAATTTTTAGAATGCATTGGGTTGGGGGGTATGTGTGCACTTTAATGTAGGTGCCTGGGGAGGTCAGATGCCTCTGGTCACCTAGAGCTGAGGGTACAAGCTATGATACACTACCCAATGTGAGTGCTGGAAGCCAAATTCTGGTCCTCTGCAAGAGCATCAGTTACTCTTTTTTTAATCTAAATTATTTTATGCATATAGGTGTTTTGGCTGCATGCGTCTGTGCATCGTCTTTGTTCCTGGTGCCCACGGAGGCCAAAAGAAGATATCACATTCCTTAGAATTGGAGTTATGAATAGCTGTAAGCCACCACATGGGTAGGTGCTAGGAACTAAACCCAGGTCCTCTGGAAGAGCAGCCAGTGTGCTCTTAATGGGTAAGACATCTCTCCAGCTTGTTGTGGAGCTTAGCCTCTCTGGCCCCAAGGCAGGGGTGTATTTTTGGTGTTTTTTTAATTGCTGAACTCCCATATTACCAAATACTATTTTGCACTTGCACACAGAGCATGCTCAGTAAATGTTGAGTAAGGAAATTAATGAATTAATGCTTCCTCCCAGGAATGATATCCCTATGTAACCCAGGCTGGACTTGAACTCTGGCTTCTCTATCTTTCTGTGGGCAACAGTGACATCATAGAGGCCCCAGGAGCTAAGTCTTACAGGATACAGCCTTTGTCTGGGCTGGCCCAAGGTGGTTGTGGGTCATATCTATCGTGTTTGTGGGTTTTGCCTCTCTCAAGACTCTGCAACACAGGCCCTCATCGTCTTCAGGGTGTTCCTCTTTCAGCACCGTGGACAGGAGCAGGAGGCCAGCACCGGGGACAGCTTTCTTTCCTAGTTGGGAACAAGGGAAAATACAAGCCGCGGACAGAGACAAATACAAGCAATAGACTCCTTGAGATGCCTCGCTGGCCATAGGGACACAAAGACGCAACATCAACCAGGTGCAGACTGGAGGGTCAACCACCAAGAACACACTGATCCAGACCTCGTTGTCGCCTCTGGTGTCCGGCAGAGGTCACTCTAGTCCGGAGACCCTGCCCTCCAAGACCTCAGCTACAGGCTGCCACCCTAGGAAAGCTCTTCCCGCTCTGTCTAGGCTCACAGGATGTCCTCTCCAACTCTGGGAAGTATGGTCTACTTTGGCCTCAGCTGAGTGAACTGGGGCGGAGTTAAGAATCGCTCCATCTGCCCCCTCCCCAGCTACCAGCTAATCACTCTTATAAATATATCCTGACCTGGCCTGACTCCTTAATCCTGACCATGAGGCAAAGACTCTGGAGGGGCTACAGGACTTACTTAAGGAGCTCTGTCTTGGGGCAGGCAAATGAAGGCGGTCTGAGTGTATATACACGTTTTTCTGGGGGGGAAACTCCCATAAGGACCAGCCTCTTGCCTGAACACGTGACTCTGGAAGAATGCATCTGTGGGGATCTGAGGGTGCCCTGGGGTGGAGACAATTTCCCACAGAGAAGAGAATATGCCTTCGAGTGGTCCCATTGGGGGGGATATTCTCTTCAGGATCCCCAAAGATGTCACCAATGGGGGTCTTTGAAGAAATGCCTCTTCAGGAAGGGGGAAATTGAGATGAAGCATCACCTCTCAGACACTATTTCTATTAGGAGTGATTTTCAGGGTGAGGGGATAGCTCTTCATGGCAGATCACACCCTTGTGGGGCTGTGTCTCCCGTGGGGGCCCGCTAGTCGCACCGGGAATTCGTCCATGAGAACAGCTCCCTTGGGGATCTTTCTTGGGTTGGCGGGTCTGTGGAAGAGAATGTCTTGATAGGGTCTCTCTCCAGCATGCCTCCCTTAGGGACATCTGCAGGCTCCACCCACCCAACCCTGCTCGCCCTCCCCCTCGCCCCCCAGCGCGGGCAGCGGTGGCCAAAACCGGGCTCCGGCTCCCAGACGCAGTGACGGCGCCGGGCTCGCCCCGCTTCGCTCCGCCCCCGCGCCCCCCCTCGCCGGCCGCCGCCGCCGCGGTCCCCGAGGCTTCTCTCTTCTTCCCTCCTCCCTCCTCCCTCCTCCTGCTGCCGCCGCCTCCCTCCTCCCTCCCCCGGACCAAAGTCGCCGCCGCCATGGACGATTCGGGCCTGATCCGCCGCCGGAGGCTGCAGGTACGCCGCAGCCCGGGCTCCAAGGAGGGGATGGGGTCGGTGCCCTGGGGCGGGGCCGAACAGGAGGCAGGAGAACTTGCGCCAGGGTCGGCCGCGGCGTCCCTTCCTATGGCCGGAGGATGCTCTGGGCCAGGAGTGCAGTGGCCGCGCGTCCTGGCAGCGCGGACCCCGCCCCTCAGGCGTCGCCCCGGTATCCCGGAGGCTCCTGGAGGGGCTGCATCCTAGCGCGCCCCCTCGAGGACGGCCTGGGCGGCGTCTAGCCCCACCGGAGTCGGAGGCAGCGGGGCCCAGGTCCTCGCCAAGGCGCTTGGATAGTCTGGGGGTGAAGGTGCGGCAAGTAAAGTTATTGCCCCAGGGTTCGAGCCCCTCGGGGCCACCAGCGCTTCAGCAGCTGTAAACATGTTTGTTCGTCAGCCTCGCCCTGACCACCCGGAGCCCTTCCCAGGCTTGCTACCTTGAGTCCTCCATTCACCTGTCTGGCCACTAGGACTCTTCCTAGTGCCCTAATTGGACAGGCACCTAGACAGCCTCCCGCTTTCCATTTCACCCCCTCCACTACAATACTCCCACCACACACACACATACACACACCCGCCCGTGATCCCTAAGTCCAGCCCAGCTTGTGGGTGGGCGGGAGCGATTTTTAGCTCCTTGCAGTCTTCGAAGATGTTGGTCGCCAGGCTGCGCAGGCGCAGGAGGCGTGAGTCCACTGCACAGAGTGGGATACTGAGGGTTGTTGGAGTGAGGGAAGGCTGGAACAAATCCAGTCCTCAGGAGTTCCCACCCCCAAGGTAGGTAGGGATTTTGAGGCTGCGAGTGTCCCCTGAGATCTGGGTCTTGCCCTTCTGAGTTCATAAACTAACCTCATAGGGGAAATAATCAATGCTTCACGCCTAGGGCTACCTGGAAGCTGGTCCTTCTGAGCCTCCTTGGAGGTCAGCCCCTGCTTGTACTCCAGAATCTAGATTAAATCAGTTGTGATCCCAATCTCTTGTCCAATTGTAGGCTCCCTTAATGCACCATTTCCAAGATCAAGACCACGGAGAAATGACCAGCAGGGCAGGGGGGGAATGAGATTCAGACAGTAAGAAGGACATCCCAGGAGGCTGGCTGCTCCCGATTGGAAAGCTAATTTGTTTTCAAACAGGGTGTCAGAGCCCAGGCTTCTCGACGCCTTCCTCGCTTTCCCTCATGCTCCCAGGGTAGATCAGGAGTGTGAGTCTTGAGTACGGGAGGGAGTTGCGGCAAAGCCAGAGTAAGTACTACAGTGGCTAAGCCGGTCCAAGCCACCCGCTCCTCGCTGAAGGATGGAAGTGGGCGGGGCCTGAACGGGGTGTGTCCCGGTCCTTCAAACAGGCGCCGAATCCCATTGGCTCAACGCCACGCGGGATTCTGTCTCTGACGCAAGACTCCGCCCCCAACCTCTATATTACCGCTCACCCACTCAGCTCAGGACATGCTATAGGCAGGGAATCTCTGCTCTCCAGACTGCAGCCACCTCCCCCTTCTGAACTACCCACTTCAATGCCTGGGTCCACTCACGCGCATCGGTTCCACCGCTAAGCCAATGTCCCACTATCCCCCAGCGCCAGAGTCGCCTGTGTGCAGTTAGCATCTTAAATAGGAAGAGCTGGTTGTTGGAATGTCCTGCCACAGTACCCTGCCAGGAGAAGCAGGGATAGGGGGGTGGGAGGTCACATGACTCCAAGGATCTAAATTTCTCTTCTTTCTTTACTTTTATCTTTTAATTTTTTTAATGTGTTGACATAGCGTCTCACAGTGTGGCCCCGTCTGTCCTGAAACAAGACCAGGCTGATCTCAAAATCACAAACATTCCCCTGCCTCTGCCTTCCGAATACAAGGAAGATGTACATTTCTGTGGCTCTGGTTTGTCCCTTTTCTCCACTTTGGAATGTTTATGGTGAGCTTGCCGATGTCCATTCTGAGGACTTCTTTCGGTGGTATTTAAGGATTCTTTTTTCTCTCTCTTTCTTTCTTTCTTTCTTTCTTTCTTTCTTTCTTTCTTTCTTTCTTTCTTTCTTTCTTTCTTTCTTTCTTTCTTTTTTTTTTCTTGTTTTTCAATACAGGGTTTCTCCATGTAGTTTTGGAGCCTGTCCTGGATCTTGGTCTGTAGACTAGGCTGGCCTCGAACTCACAGAGATCCACCTTGCTCTGCCTCCAGAGTGCTGGGATTAAAGCCGTGTGTCACCACCGCCCAGCTATTTAAGGATTCTTTAAGGCTTATCATACCTGTTACAAACGTCTGGAGACCTTGGCCCCAAGGCTGAAAAATCCAGGTCTTAGTTTTGCTAGGTCCATTAAGGCTGCTTAGCTTGGTAAGCTGAGTCCAATTCACCTCAAACCTGTCATCTGGTCTGGATTTCTGATCACGGTGGCTCCCCAGGGCAGGCTGCCCTTTAACCCTGCCCTGTCTGAATGCCCTTTGCACATGGAAGTGGTAGGATCCTCTGAGACATTTTCTGCTGTGTGGCATGTCTATTAATAACTCTTCTTTTTTTTCTTATTAATACAGTATTTATTTGTATTCTGTTAAACCCTGAGCCAAGTATATTCCCCAGACTTCCTGGGGAGGTACAGGAGAAGGAACATACAGGGCAGATGGGACATGAAAGAGCTATGGGAGGAGGAAGTGGAGACAGCTGCTTCACATGGTGAAGAGGATGAGAAAGGCCACCATTAGGCAGAAGAGCCCCATGGCCTCTGAGAGGGCAAAGCCCAGAATCGCGATGGAGATGAGCTGTTGCTTCAGAGAAGGGTTCCTGGCATACCCAAAGATGAGGCTCCCCAAAAGAGTCCCAATCCCAGCCCCTGATCCAGCCACCCCGACTGTAGCAGCCCCAGCCCCAAGTGTTGCTGTCCCTAGATATGACGCTGCTTTGGAAGCTGCAGCTAGGGATGAGTGAGGTCAGAGGTCGAGGGACTGCCAAGCTGCTGGGGCCCTCGTCTGTCCATGTCTGTGGTCGGTTCCACTGCAGACAGCGGGCAACTCAGCGGCTGAGAGGCTCCTGATCAGGAAGCAGGTGGAGATGAACGTGGAGCAGGCATACATTTTCAGGGGGGCGGGCCGAGGCAGGAGAGCTGCTCCCAGGGTAGAGAGGATAGAGAGGGTTAATAACTCTTCTTACGACTTACTACTTGGACATTTTTTAGTTTTACTTAAAATTTTTATTACTATTTTTAAATTCATGTGTAAGGATGTTTTGCCTGCATGTATGTCTGTGAACTACCAGTAGCCAGGGATCATGGAGGCCAGAAGAGGGCATTAAATCCTCTATAACTGAAATTTCAGACAGCTGTGAGCTGCCATGTGGGTACTGGGAATCGAATCTGGGTCCTCTGCAAGAGCAAGTGCTCTAAACTTCTCAGCTTTCTTTCTCTGAAGCCGTATTTATTCGTGTGTGTGTATGTGTGTGTGTGTGTGTGTGTGTGTGTGTGTGTGTGTGTGTGTGTGTGTGAATGTATATATTTGTATGTTTGTGAGCGTGTGCCATAACTTTTAGGAGGAGATTCTTTCCTTTTACTGTGCCGGTCCTGCGGCTGGAACTTAGGTGCCTAGGCTTGTTAGAAAATGCCCATAACAGCTGAGCATCTCTTCTGCCCTGGACTTACTGCTTGCTGAGCATGCGCCAAGTGCCAGGTACCACCCTAAAATGGTAAAACCTGCATCACCTCACAGACTTCTCTAGGAGACAGGGGTACTTGGGAAGGTCTTTTGCCAAGGTCACAAAAGGCAAATCTGGGATTTTTTTTTTTTTCCCATCAAGACAGGGTTTCTCTGTGTAACAGCTCTGGCTGTCCTGGATCTCGCTAGTAGACCAGGCTGGCCTTGAACTGACAGAGATCCACCTGGCTCTGCCTCATGAGCACTGGAATCAAAGGCGTGTGTCGCCACCGCCGCCACCACCACCACCACCACCACCACCCCCCGGGCAAATTTGGGATTTTAAAGCTAGGTTTTTGTCTCTGAGAGATCATAGAAAGGATTTGTATTTACTTGTTTTTGTACATGTATGTATGTGGTGTACATGCACGTGTTCATGTGTTGTATGTGTGTGAACACACAGGGATGTGCACATGTGTGTTGAGGCTGGAGGTTGATACCTGCTGTCTTCCTCCACTGCTCTTAGTAACTGACCCCAAAGCTTGATAACATGAGCTAGCCTAGCAAGTCAGTTTGCCCCAGAGATCCCTTATCTCCACCCCAACCCCAGCACTGGGATTGATGGAGACCCCTCATGCCTGTCTAGCATTTGGGTATGTGTTGGGAACTAGAATTCTGATTCTTTTTTTTTTTTCAAAGATTTTGTTTATTTTGATTTATTGAGACAGGGTGTCTCTATGTAGACCAGGCTGGCCTTGAATTCACAGAGATTTGCCTGTCTATACTTCCAGAGTGATGAGATTAAAATTGCACACCAGCATGCCCTGCAAGAAGTATTTTATTTTTAAAGAACTGTTTTAGTCATGCACATGTGTGTGGGTATTTGCACATGAATACCCGTGCCCACAGAGGTCAGAGGTATGGGATCCCTCTGGAGCTTGGGTTACAGGCAATTGTGGGCCCCCTGTAGTGGGTGCTGGGAATTGAACTCAGGTCCTCAGGAAGAGCAGTATGTGCTCTTAACCACTGAGCATCTCTCCAGCCATGGAATTCTGGGTCTTGAACTCATTAAGGTCCTTATCCACTGGGAA